CGCATCATTCGCCTTTGTGAAAAACATATTCCTCAAGAGTTGGAGGGGTACATTTGAAGTAGCGGGATATCTGGTTTGGATATAGGCAGTTCCGAAAGTTTGACAGTATCATAGAGGATAGGTAAAGCAGTCCAATGGGTGCCTCGTTGATCTTCATTTTGCGCTTGAAGTCCACGGTCGCGAAGTGCATCTTGATCTCCTTGAATATCCATTCAACGGTTATGCGCACTGCAGACATAGACGTGTTGAAAGCTCGCTGGGCTGGAGAGAGGTTTGAACCTTGAAAAGGGACCTCCATAAACCATCTGGGGTTGTATCCAGAGTCACCGTATAAACTGTATCTTACACCGTTCGCCTCTAGGACCGAAGGAATTGTTTCGTCAAGCTCGCTTCGTATATACAAGGTCCAATCGTGGCGGCGCCCTTCTAGTGGACCGTACACATGCTGAATCATGCCGTCAGGCGTATTTACAGCCTGGTACTTTAGCGCGTGCTTCCTCTTGTGGCCGTTATACACTACTCGTTGCGCTAAATTACCCTTCGGGCGAGCTATAGCCAGCACTGTGCCGTCAATAAAGCCAACACAGTTGTCCATCGCGCTTCCTTTCGCATAAATGGCCTCTGCGTACATCGGCAATCTCTCTTCCATAAAGTCTTTGTCCAAGGGAGACGTAATCAGATGCTGTCGTTCCTGCACGAGGTGCTCAACAGCCTCCCAAAGAATCTCGGATAGCTGTGGCGCATGTTTGCCAAACAAAAGCTCCATGTCAGTCCACCTCGCAGGTGTCGCCAGCCGTTTCAATACAACGCAGCAAGACAGAATTGGTGTGACTGAGTACCGGTTGCGACGAGTGCAGGTCTTTTCTAACGGCCATCCCATCACCTTCATCATTGTTATGAGGTGCTCTGAGCGAAATCTAAAATGCAGAAGACACTCCAGGTCGCTAAACGCATTGAAATTAAATGTAAAATCAGTTGTGGAGATGCGGTTGCGGCGAGTAATGCAGTGTATGTAGTCACTGCGGTGGTGGACGTACACTCCGGTAACTTGGAGAAGAAGGCGGGTGGAAGATGGTAGAGACTCTCGATTGCGTTGTCGACGTCGCGCAATGGCTTGCAGCACGGCACGAGAATCGGAACACCGTTTTCTTGTCGCACTTGTGGCGTAGTCCTTTTGTCTGCATGGAGCCATGTTTGCAGTGGTGAGGCACTCGCGTCGTCCACCCCAGCCGACCCTTGTGTATGTAATACTCGCTGTGATACTCATGTGCCTTCCGGTTTATTGCAGCGTAAGCCCTATTTCAGATTTCACACATTACATTTCTGTATCACATTTCAGCATTCAGGGTTGCTGAAATTTGCAAATTAATTTCTCATTTTCTTTTTGGCGTAAGCTCTATATTGTTCAGAAGTTTGTGCCGGGAACAAATCGATCAATCGAATTAGAAGATTACAAGTGGGCAAGAAGGCAGAACAGGTTCCCGCCAAAAAATGAGTAGCCCATGACGGTATATCGCTACGTAGTTTTCGATGCCATATCCCTAGTACGCCAAATGCGCACTTAAGTGAGAACTTGACAGTTTTCAAGAAATGCGTAAAGTTGCCAAATGCGCACTTCAGTGAGCATTTGGGGCTTAGGATTGCCCCTTTTGTCAGCGCATTGTAGCCCAATGGTGCACAGAACATCTTTATGACACACAGACCTGCATTCAAGCAAAAGAGCGGATCATTTTGCATGTTCATTGGGTGCATCCAGAAAATAACACTGTATCACTCGACTACTTTTTTGACCAATCAGCGACTGATAAAGTGGTCGCCGGCTGACTACTTTTGACCATCTGATCAAGCCCTCTCGACCCCTCTCCACTCCACCACTCCCGCACCACTTCCCATTCCATCCTTGCGCACTGGAGTTCCACATTCCAAGACCCCTCTCTCGAGCTGTCGGTGATGCCCGCTTCGCCAATGCCCTTTCAGAACAGCCGCAAGCACACTCTGGCAGCTCTAGCAGTATCGCTAGCAGCTCTGGCGACATGTCTTGTCGCCCGGAGGAGGACAACAATGCGCCGCAAGCGCCGTCATCGCAACAAGAACCCAAAGTACCTCCGCCCAGCCATTATTCGCCCTCGCACACAGCGGTCCACTCCTTGGCGCGTGCTTCTCTCGTTCGGGAAAGACTCCGACTTCCTTGTATCCGTCAATATCACGAAGCCCTTACTGCTAAACAGTATACTTCCATTTTTTATACAGGAACAATTGAAATATAACTTCGGTAGCCCTTATCGAAGGGGACCGAAAACAAGAGGACGCAGTACGCAACTGGAAAGTATTGATTTGTTCGGGTTGGCTTGAGAGGGAGGATCGGATCCGTCCAAAAGGGATGCCATGTTGAGATGACAGTGTCAGAATGCGGGCGCCAGGTTTGAGGAGGAAGGTGTGGCTCGCTTTGGGATTTTAGGGGATGGGGAGGTTGTCGGCGAGTGAGGGTGCGAGTGGGTGTACAGTTCGCAACATGTTCCAACTGGGGTGGAACCGCCACGGAAGGGCAGTGATGGAGTGCAAGAGTGGTGGGGACAATCAATTTTTGAAACTATCATACAATGGTAAAGTGTTAGAGTGCTATTTTCTGGATGCACCCATTGAACGCCATTCGTACCGGTTTGCACGCAGGTTGGGGGAGCACGAGGTAGGAGAGGGGGTGTTCAGGGCTAATGTGCATGTGCTTACACCCTATGACAGCGCGTGAGGGTGTTTTGTGTTTTCATTTGTTCTACATAATAGGGATGACTGCCAGCGGTCCAGAAACAAATTTGTGTCAGACCCATTTTGTCCGTATTTTTGTCCCCACATAATAGGTTTGCTCTTAGGGAGACATTGGTAATTACGTCGGGAACGGACGGTTACAGACTTGTACATACCCTCTAGGGTATATCTGCATGCGCCAACAGCAGCGCCAAGTACAGGGGGGGGAGGACCTCATTAATGCACATTTGGACAATGCTTATGCCCAGTATTGCCTGGCTAATGATGTTCTAGAAAGGACGAAGGAAGTTCGTATTTGGGAGCTAGAGGTCCTGTCAAGCGCAGGCAAGCTAGAACAGAGAGATACCGCCAAGGACAGAGTTCAAGAAATCCCCCTTCCTTCTGAGGGGAAAAAGGCAAATGCCTTTTATTTAAGGAGGTTGAGGATCTTGCACAGCGGACTGAGGTTTTGGTTGCCGCAGACGGGTTGCGCAAGGCAAAGCGTGCCTTTATGGATGCATTCGGCGAGCAGAACAAGAAGAGCAAGAAGAGGAGGACACAAAACTATGATTCATGACTTCTTTACTGTTTTGATCGCATACAGTATATATAAATGGCTTCCATATTTATTGCACATCGGGAGTACTGCACCTTTTGTGCTTACGACGTGGGTGTGCACTAATGAGCAACACCCACTGTAGGCATCAGGTAAGGGTGCTGATGGAGAAAACTGCAAAGATGTATCGATATAGCACAAGGTAAGGGTGCTGGTGGAGAAAGGTGTCATGATGCGGCATAGCAGAGACGCAACAGCCACAGGTGCGCGAGGTGCACAGCGCCGACCACGCGCGCGTGCATCCGAGATATGACAGGCCACCTGGCATGCGCTTGAGTGCGTCGTACGGCGTGCATCATCAAGTGCGAAAATGTATCGATATGGCGACAGGCAACCTCTGCCCCTCGTGCACTCAAGCGGCGACTTGGAGTGGACCATGCGATTGACTACTGTACAAATACAGTAGTCGCGGCTTGAGCTGGCAAAGGCACGCAACTCTGTTTTCGCCTCCTAGGGTGACCTATGGAAATGATTGCTTGTGTTTGATTGAGGGCGGTATGTGTTGGCAGCAATTCTGTTGTTGTTGTCAACTCGAGACAGGCATACTGCAACATGTATCGCTACGGCAAAGCAGCGTATCCCCGGGCCAATTTCAGCTTTGGGCATCCGAAGGTTGCATCATAGAAATGTTGAGAAACCGTGGCATTCGGTCAAAATGGTTGGGTACTGCATGGTGACAAGGAACTCGGATTCAAGATACAGTCGACCCTACGCATTAGTGCCGCCCTGTGTAAGGACTAATAATACGGCACTAATTTGGAGCGGCACAATCAGATGGCAGAACCACTACCCGGCCAGAACTCTGTTATTAGAGTCTGCTGTTGTTGCCTTTGACGCTGTCATGCCTCTAGCTTCTAGAAAAGCTCATTTTGTGGACCTCAAGTGCGAAAAGGCATTGCTCACGTCGCACTCCACACCCAGACTCTCCAAAGACCCAAACAACCTTGCTAGCACTACAGCACTCGGTAAGGCCCGCCTCTCCGTAAATTCACACTCGTCTTCTGCCACCAGCTCTGCAATGCAGGGGCGCAGGCGCGAGAGACAGCAAAAGATAATAATTCCAACCAAATGCAGACACCAGACGCACGGTCGCGAAGCATGGTGTGTTGATTCCATGTACCGAGTAAAGGAATATACTTGGTAAGGTGCTGTAGTCTTCCGACTTTAGAAAGCGGGGGTTTTTCGCTGGCAAAGCATTCCTCTGATAATTCTTTGCGAGACACGAGAGACGGATCTACACCAGCTCCACAAGAAGTTTTTTTAAAAAAAATGGTGAACGCAACAACCTTTTAAACGCTGCTGTTAACGTAGGCGCATGTGGTGTCTCATTATTTATGTTTATGCTACGAACTCTATTACTTACCGTACAACATAAAATCAAAAAAAATGTAGGAAACACCTGTTGAGAGGTTGTAACTTTGTAACGGCGGTGGGCGATATCGGAGCGTGGCAAAGTGGTGCTGCCCAAAAGTGTGTGTACAGAGTAAAGTCTCGATAAGCTGCGTACCTGATATGATGAACTGTCTCGGTACAGTGAACCGAAGGAGTATGAGGGAAGCGCCACCCCGCTTTTTTGGCCCAGAATCGACGTTTTCGTATTTCTAACGTGAACTAGACTCTATAGAATGAACTAGGCGATACCATGAACATACAAAAACATGAAAACCCCAGAGTTCACTTTATCGAGGCCGAAATGCGCACTAGGAAGGAACCATCAACGACTACAGAAGCCATCCATACGACTTTGCCTCAGATTCGAACGCTGAAGCCTCCTTACGCGGCTTTGTTCCTCATACAGAAGTGACTTGATGCTCGAAGGCAGCCCCGATTGAACCAGATTCGCGTCCGTCATAACACAACTGAGTTCGTTAGATAGAGCTTCTAATGTTCCGCGATACCGAGCAAGCGACGGTTTGCGCCCTGTCCGGTCTTTCGCTGGCACAGTAGAGCGATCGTCCTCACTATCTGAATCACCGTTAAATTTATCTTGCTCAATGCCAGTAAATGCCCCAAAATCCGCTAATCCAAGATCAATGGCTTGACCGAGAGCTGACTCTTCTGATATAGACTCTGGATGTGGCAGAATTAAAAGAAAAGGAAGGATGGATCACAATGTGAAGTGGTCCAGATATGGAATTGCGCCCGTCGACCTTGCCCGTCGACGTTGCCCGTCGATGGACAGAGTGAAGGAAAGTGAGTTTGTGTTCCTGTGACCGTATCATCGGCATTGGTGGAGACGCTCTAAGAGCGTCTCCACCGGTGTGGTCCAAATCATACTGTACCCGTAAAAAGGGTACACGTGTACACGAGCAGTTCCGCTGCCGTGAACTGCCTCGGTAAGGCGAACTCAATGGGCTGCTCGGAAGCGCCACATTTCGGTTCACGATATCGAGACTTTACTCTGTAGCGATGTTTCGCAACTGATGCAACCCTAGGGTGCGGATCGTTTTCGCTCCGTACGTACGTACTACAGTATAAGTATGTACAATATAATAAGGTGATACGGTTAGCACGGGCGAGAGGGCGAGGGTGAGAAAGGTGTGAGTGCGCGCAGGTTGCATGCGTGTGGCAGGTGTTGTGTGTCGGGCCGTTGCTGAGAGGTGTCACGTGGACGAAGATTGATGTTGTCATTGCAGCATTGCGTCTCACTGAATACGGTATGAGGTGCGCAGTGTAGCCCTTGACGCAAGGGGGCCCGTGTAGTGAGGCCAAGGGCCAGATAGAGCAGGTGATGCAGTGCAGCGTAACATTTAGTTGATGTAGAGAAAACAGGGGCTCACCAATAGTGGGGATGAAGAGATGTGGACAAGCGACGCGCGAAGCAGTAATTTACTTGTCCCGGTCACAAGCGGATTAAAACACACACACAAGTCGGAGGCGGTTGTTGTTTGTAAAAGTTGTACCAGGTCCTCACGGGACAGGGGAGTGTATCGGGGGGGGAGGGTGTGGCGGGGGGGAGGAGGGGGGGAGGTGTAGTGGGGGTGGGGGGGAATCATCCATCATAGCATCATCAC